ACTGCTGCATCTACCCAATAAAGTATCCCTCTGCCTGACCGGTAATACAGTATTATAACTACCCTTGATAGCTATCATTCCTAATGCACAAGAAGAACCTAGTAAATATAATCAGTATTATAATGAACAATTGGAATGTATAATAACAACTTACTTTGTATATATTTCAAAAACTGCAGTATTAAAAGCATTTCTATTAAATGCTTTATAATGTTTTTGTGTGAATAAAAATAAAACATATAATTCAGATTTCTTTTATTGTTCAATAATTTCCATTTATCATTTATTGTCATAGTTTCAATAATTTTTGTCGTTTCATAATTTACTTTTATATCTCTCCAATCACAAATCCTCTTGAATATCCTCCATTATCTGTCTTCCACTTATAAAACTGTCATCTTTTTCTTTCTCTTTTTCTTTTCCATACGTGTATAAAACATGAAATTACCCTTCCACCTAGGTGATAGATAGACAGAGAAAGAAAGTGTAGAAAAAAAGACACTTTCTCTCTCTTTCTTTCTTCCACTTCTTATTTTCTAGTTTTTCGATACCTACGCTCTGAAAAAAGTCGTGCCTCGAGGAGCTATGTTTCTATGTATTGGGAAGGGTTCCTTTAGGAAGCAGGGACCACGGAGAGGGAAAAAGGGTCGCTCGAGCGCGATATTTCCACCTTAGTGCCTCGACTGTGCACGCTAAAATACATTTTCCTAGGAAGTGTCGTCAGAGGAGGGCCTCCAGCTGCTGGTCCTGATATTCCACATGCGTAATGCTCACGCGGATATTTCCATACATAAATTTTATCCTACAGGAAAGTAGGTGCACGTCTACGACAACGAAACGACAATGACAACGATGACGACGTGTTCCGAAACGTGTGCGAAAAACTACCACGTAGTAGGCCATCTTTTATTTTTTTTATTTTCTTTTTCTAAATCGCATAATCTTTTATTAGGGGATTTTTCGTACGTCCTACGAGCGAACGATGATAAAAATATTTATCTTATCGTTCAATTCAAATTAATGTTCTTGTAAAAATTTACAACAACAATAATATTTATTTGTAATTGACAGGATGGTGTTCTGTTTTATTGGAACGTTCAACACTTCACTGAAATTTTCAGTTCTTTCGGATTGTCATAAGTCTGATAATATCGCCAGGCCATGTTAATACGAAGTACCTTCCCATTTATTAATAGATTTTCGATGATTGTCTAAACAAGATGAGCGATTGCGTCGCATTTACCAAATCTTTTCTGTGTTAAGCTCATCGCAGCCCATTGTTTTTTATCTTCTGGAGTAATTGATTCTGTATTTAAAAAATTAAAAAATAAAAGATATACAAATCGATGATTCTTTTTTTGTGATACGAAAAAGTAAATCGTTGTTTCGATATTAATCTGTCATTTTTGTATTAATGAAACCAGGAGTTTTACCAACAACACGTATTCTTTTTTCAACAACGTTTCTCGCAAGTGACATCGTCATACCGGAAACTGCTGATTTAGTTGCACCGTATGCTATCATACCAGGTGGTTCTTCATATGCCATAGTGCTAGACAAATTCACTATAACGCCTCTTTATTTATTAACATCGGGTTTGTTTTCTGCCATCAAACCAAGTGTCAATCGTGTTACGTTAAACAGACCCCATACATTGACGTCAAACACCCGTTTAAGAAGTTCCACAGAATGTGGTTTTTTTCCTTTAAAATCATATATCATTTCGTAACCGGAAACACTGGCATTATTAACGAGTACGTTTATACAACCGAATCTACTTTTGGCGCATTTTAAACTTTCCACTACGTCCCTTTCTATCCTAACCTATAATATTTATTCGTGAATTTCGTTTAACCGAGATATTTTAATCTTGAAAATGATTTTTTATTTACTTTCTTATGAAATTTCAATAAGAGAGAGTTTACGTCAGTACAAGTGAAGAGACATCTGTCACCCATACATTCTGCAAATTTTGCTCCAGATTGGGCCGTGTCAGCTATCACAACTCTCTACCATCCTGACAAAGAATTTTTTCTGCCAGCGCTTTACTAATACCATTAGAACCACCAGTGACGTAAGCGACAATATGCTAAAATAAATTTATTAATATCATAGACATATATATTTTATCCTTTATTTACTTCCGTGTTTTCTTTTTTACTCTCATTTTACCCATTCTTCAAATATATTCAAAGTTATTTTATTCTTTCTCGTAAGTTATAAAAAAATATTAATAAATTTGCATTATTCTTCCGTGATGTTAAAAGGATCCTAAAAATAGGATAATCTTTACAAATTAATCAAATTAATTATTTTATTTTTCAGGACATCACTTGAATTCATATCTGAATTAAAAAATAATTTCATAATGCTGTTTCATCTCAATATTTCGATGTATTGTATCTCGAACGAGGTAAGTTTTTGTTTTTTATTTTTTCCAAATGATTTAACCTCTACTTATTTCGAGGATTACTAAAAATATTCAAACGTCAATGTCATAGGAAAAATTCATGAGAAATGACAGCTTGGTTTTTGACAGTTCTTTTGCGATCGATTAAAATTAACAACGAATATCGCGTTCTACGATCTAAATATTTTCTCAGTTTATACGAAATAATCTTTTTTT